TAGTATTGTATTCCAATAGGGTATTAGGTAAAGCCCCCACAGTACACCCACCAAACTGACCCCACACACCCACTTTTCAAAGTGCATGTGGATCACACTTTGATCACATAATCTTGAATAAAGTTCAATTATCAAGTGGTCGGCTTGGCCGTCCATTCACGTTCACCCCTTCCGTACATTATTTCACTTTCATATAATACAAGAAATATCAATACACCACCAAAAACAACATATAAAATTAATTTCACTATTCCTTTCTACTTTCTATTTTTGTACTGCAACAAAATTCAACCCATTTACATTCTTTCTGGTTTCAATTCATTTCAACCTGTTTATAAATATAGCATATACAATTATTCTTCCATTTTTAATTGGACCACCATAACCCAGCCAAAAGGCATATTTTATGTTCACTATTACTTGGCTTTATTGCATACCATAAATAATATAATACATAATTGTGATTCTCCACCTTTAAGCTAGCGTAGAATATTAGATTATTATTAAGTATCTTCAAACAACCTCAGCAAGACTTATTATTGAAACTAGAAAGCAGAAATTGTAAAGGAATGTTTAGTGGTTGTTAGTTCAGGGCGAAGGAATTTTTGGCTACGGACTGAGTATTGACAGATGTGGTGAGATAATATATTTTTAGTGAGAAAGAAAAGATTGCGATAATAAATTTTAATTGGTACCACAGAAACATGAATAAATGAGACAGGGGGGCTAAAGGTGGGCTATGGGTCATCTAATGAAGAGGTAAAGCGACTTAACAGCCAGAGAGGCTCAACGGTTTGTCAGAACCAGAGTGGGGCCAAGCATCAGACTAGTGATGTGGGGCAGTACTCATATATATTATTAAGAAGAAGAGGAAGCATAAGATGAAGATGATGAGAATGGTAACGTAGCATTTATAAATTAGTAGATACATGAAAATGAATATATATGCCGCTACTGCCGGAGCTAGTTACTGGTGCATGCAGTGGGCATATAAATATATATATATTAAATATTAAACCAAAAGGAAAAGGAATTATTTGGGTATCTTCGCCTCCATTGAAGTCCTTTTTTAGCTATAGCTCCCTGGTTGATTTGTATGTGTCCATCTCCCCTTACATATGGGCCCAATATTTCATATTATAAAAAATTATATTGAGTGTGTGTATAAATAGCGTGATTTGAAACATGTAGGTAGCTACTTAGTCCTAGACTATGGGGTATGACAGTTGTGTTGTTGGTATTATCATCATCATAATCATAGTGAAACTGATACCACTACTTTGGTTGAGACCCATCTATCATGCTTTACTTTTAAACATGTTCCATCATAAAAATTTCATAGTAGCATGCCATACCATGCATTACACTACACTATGTATCTATCTCCCTACCTTCTACATATATATAGCTAGTATCTATAGACTGTGCTCACCCAGCAATGCATCAGCCATATATGTTACCTTTTAAAACTTTATATTCGGGAATATTATGCAAAACCTAGTTTGTTCTTGTTCTTCTAATATGAAGATGGTAATTGATTAATTTTAGACTGATTGTTTAGTACTATAATTAAAAAGGGAATTTTTTTTTTTTTTTTGAAGGGAGGTGATGGTGTATATAAAATGATAAAAGGATTTTGATTAAGCTTGAGGCTGTGGATGGGAGAGAGCATATGAGACAAAAAGCCAACAGGGAACAGGAATTATGAAACAAGATAGCGGCAACCGCCAACTGGAATATAGTGCACGTGTGTGCGGGGGTGTTTGTGGGTGAGGTAGAGATCACTGTAATCTAATATATTCTGTCTAACCAGGGTTAGGGTTAGGGTTGTGGTCCTGAAAAAAACCCATCCCCAAGCTCTACCTCCACCAACATTTACTGTGCACACCTAAATTAGTATAATTTTATTACATATTTGTAAGCCAAATACATAACTTAATTAAAAGAAGATATATGTATAAAAATGAGGAGATGAGATTGAGATTGAGAGGCGTAGATTACCTTCCATCTGAATAAATGATGAAAGAGAGGGAGGGGTCGGTCCCCATTACGCAGTAGGGCTTGTATAGGCTTTAGCTGCTTTAGCTTTAAAGAGCAGCGCGCACCACCACCTCTCCCTCTGAACTTTGATGTTAACTTGTGATATTTCCTCGGCAATTCTCGAGACACGACACTTACCACCTGTTTCTATGAAACTGTATTCACTTTTCTTCTTAACCACCCTGGTTAATTTGGTATTTTTCCATTACATTATCTACTCAATTATGAGAATCTAACTACCCACACCTCTATAACATTATCTAAATTAATTAATCTACCCCTGCAATATGCATTTTCAAGTACCATTACATAATATACATCCCTCATTAATCCTGTACCTTTCTTTCTCTGTCAATGCAAAATTCATTCTCTTATCAATGATATATAATATAGTCCTATCATTTCCATGTTTTTTTTTTTTTAAATAAAAAAATACGAATCCTAGTCCTTTTATGTCCATATGTAATACACACACACACACACACTCTTTACCTGTACATGTATAGAACAAACAAAAATTTGATTTGAATTCTGAGAATATATATATAATTATTGTATGCATTTGAGGTCAAAATGACCAAATATTATATAATATTTTATATAAATAGGAGCATGTAAATGTACGTAAAATGTAGCTGAGTCATATGGTTAATTTAAAAAATGTTTTAAAAATGGGAGTTGGCGAGTTGCAACTCAAGTAAAACAAAGAAATTGATAAATATATACTTGGTCAATTTTTAGTCAATAAGTATGTATAAATTTATTATATGTATTTATCAGTGCACAGTGCATGTTTAAAAACTTTAGCGAGATGAACGTTACAAGTTGTTTCGAGAAGTACGTAATTGTGTTAGTTATTGGCAACAATACATGATCAGGTCCGCGCTGGATATAAAATTATACTCTCGTGAACAACAATTAATCCCTCTGTTATGTATTATTTAATATTTTTACTGACACTGAATTAATTTAGGGTCTTAACTAACAATTAGTTCAGAGTTCCATTATATATATTTCGCCACTGCCATTGGTGGTGATATATATATATATATATATATATATATATCTTCAAAGAGACCTGATGATGTTGTGTTTGCTTATAATTTCAAAGAAATGAATTCATCTGTACACACAATAAAAACAATAGTTTGCGTGGAGGGTTGTGTCAAACTTCATAAAGTGAAAGATCGATCAAACTGGACCACATGATCATCAATAGCCACATCCACTATCCGGTAAGGAAGCAATTTCAGGGCATAACATTTAATTATGTATTTCAATGTAAAACGAAACCATCATCAAGATCAAGTTACTATCTGTTGTATTTCATTCAGAGAAGAGATATAATAATTAGACACATGTACATGAATCCAATTGTCTAATTTTGATGTAAATTTCATGGGCATTTCAGCGTTTTTGCTGTAACATTTGGGTATAGACCGTTGGTAGTACTGAATTAAATTATATCCATATTGTATATACATGGTTGTTTGATTTCTAGGTTGTGTTAAGAGTTAAGACATCCAACAGAATCACTCACATTCATTTAATTTCCCTTTAAAAACACATTAATTATCAATTTATCATAGACAAAATAAAATAAACCTAAAATGAGTTGATTAGTGAAATGTCATAAAGATCACATGCAGCAGCTAGGTAGCTAGGCTGATTAGATTAGAGTAATTCAATAGTAGTATTATCGTTTGGTTTAAATAAATAAATAATAAATTTTATGTTAAACATTGGCCAAGTTGAAGGAGGTCAAAGTTAATGACTTATTCTTGAGAGGCTGCTGGGTGCAATAGCTGTCCAAATTTCTTTCAATTGGACCATATGCATCTATAGTTGAATAAAAATATAGAGGGGGGTTGCTAGTAGTAGAAAGTTGAAACTCTTTTGAGGTTAATTAAATTAATAAAATATTAAGAATTGTGATTTGTTAATTAACTAACACGTTTTCCTTAATTTCCAATCGTCTTCGCTTACCAAACCCAACAAATTGCTAAATAACAAGTAATATATCTCTCGACTCCCATAAATCGCTAGTACAAAGTCATTGTTTTTTATATTTTTCAAATTAACGATGACCCCATTTGCTATATATACAATTACCAAAGTAGATGAAAACATGCAAGATGTTGAGGTTTTGTTTGTGTTTGTCAACTTAAGATTATAAGTTATAAAAATAGAATTAATGAACCATTCATCAACTTAATTTGCAGCAGATTATAAAAATGAATAGGAAGGAAGGGAAGAAGTGGAAATGGTGGTAAAAGATTAAAGGATGATATAACATGGTCTCCCAAGTTTGAGTCTTTTGATGGTAAAAAAGTGATAGAATGATTTAACATGGTCTCTCAAATTTGAGTCCATTTGAGAGTAAAAGAGAAAGATGATGATCTAACATGACCTCTAGAGTTCGAGTATCCTTGATAGTAAAAGAGCAAAAAGATGATTTAATATGGTTTTTGAAGAGGAGAATCTAACATGATCTCCCAAGTTTGAGTCTTGAGGGTAGAGGAATAAAATGATGATCTAACATAATCTCTCGAGTTCGGATCCTCACAATTGATAATAGATATGACCATTAAAACTTGTATCCAACTGATAACTTTAAAATTAATTGAGATGCATGCATGCGGTCCAAAAGAGAGTGGAAGTGCGTGGTTAATTGAATGATTGAAGAGGAATCTTTTCCACAGGTAGGAGGCGCCAGGTCGATCTCGCCTCGCTTAAACTCTTGTAACTTTTTTTTTTTCTCACTCTCAGGACCAGCGCACACAATGAATGACACCAAAGTCAAAACTGATCAAAATCTAACTACAACATGCTTTCTCTCTCTTTAAAAACAACTGGCTTTGGCTTATTAAAAAAAAATAATAATAAAAAAAATAATAATACTAGTGTATGACTTTGGAGAGAGGGGCAATATTCATGGCAAGCTTAGTGCCTACTAGACCAACTGGCTATTTGGGTATTAGCGCAGAAGATATACACAGATAAACCGGAAATGATGAAAAGGACAAACTCACATGAGCCGAACCAGATCATTCATGGGCCCCTACGTAGTATAATCCTTCCTCTCCTTCTCCTTCTCCTTCTCCTTCCCCCTCTCTCTCAATTTCATCATAGGTATCTATCTCTTTAAGTACCAAAATTAAAATTACCACCAGAGAAAATTCTTTATTTCTTCAATATCAATTGCAGCTTCAACCTTCCAGAAGCTAATTAGTTAGCCCAATCTTCCTCTTACTCTCACTCTCTCAGCTGCTAATTACCTCAACAACTTGTTCAAATCATCCATGTCTTTGTCTTCTTTAGGGTTTTGGGTCAAAGAAGAGGGCACCGACCGGCCGTTATTCTTCTGAGTTTGCTTTCTTTTGCTTCTCTGGGGCCTCAAAGATCTGACACTGAGATCATACAATTTCAATACAACTAAGAAACAAGGTGAGGTCTCTTGTGTATTATTATTATTTATTTTCATTATTTTATTTCACCATAAAAGTCCTAAACCAACCTTTTTCTTTCATTTCTTTATCTTGTAGTTTAGATTTTTATTTCATTTCCTAAGATCCAGTATGGGTTAAGAAACATATTCAAATTTATAGGTGAATCATGATGAACTTTGTGCAACAAGAAAAAGGGTATTGTAATAATGAAGAAGAAGATGAAGAGACGCCGGAAGTGATAAGAGAAACCAGTAAGCATCATCCTTTTTCTTCTTCATCCTCTTCCTCTTTTGCTTCTTCCAAGTACAAAACTTTTGTTCCTTCTCATCAAAACCTATGGTTGGGGAACTTTGATTCTCAAGAACAGTACAAAAGCCAAGAAACAACAATCAATTTTGACAAGAAGCTTGAGCTGATGGACTTATCACTGGGAAATAATCATAATAATAATGAAGAACCCAGTACTGGAACTGCTGCAGGTACTGCTGAAGGTGATAGTAGTAGTAGGTCTGTCGAGAAAGAACATATGTTTGATAAAGTTGTAACACCAAGCGATGTAGGCAAGCTAAACCGTCTTGTAATTCCAAAACAACATGCCGAAAAGTACTTTCCACTAGACTCTTCATCGAACGAAAAAGGGCTTCTCTTGAATTTCGAGGATCGGAATGGAAAAGCGTGGCGTTTCCGATATTCTTATTGGAACAGTAGCCAGAGTTATGTGATGACTAAAGGATGGAGCCGTTTTGTGAAGGAGAAGAAGCTTGATGCAGGCGATATCGTTTCGTTTCAGAGAGGTGTGGGTGAGTCAGGTAAAGACCATTTATACATTGATTGGAGGCGGAGGCCTGATGCTCCAGATCCCACATCTATTGCGCAAATACACCTCCAGAATCAGCTACACTTTCAACAGTCGTTCCGGTGGGGTAGACTCTACTCACTTCCCCAATCTCTCTCCGTTCCAAGAAACTATGAGCAATTGCAACGTCTAAATTATAGTAATATTTATCCTTCTTATTATCATCATCAACATCAACATCAACAACACCAACACCAACACCAACAACAACAGCAGATGTTTTCTTATGGAAATGCCTCACACCTTAATTACCCAATAAGGTCATCATCCTCAACACAGCAAATTGGGGCAGTCCAAGAGGGAGGGAATGCCCCGCTTGTCATTGATTCTGTGCCTGTTGTTCATGGTAACACTGCTGCTAAAAGACTTAGGCTGTTCGGTGTAAACATGGAGTGCTCTACACAAGAACAATCGTCACCCGCTATAGTTCATGCCCCAATGAGTTCAGTCTCTTACCTTCCTCCTCTCGAATCAAGGCTACCCAATAATGCCTCATTCTCCACAACGCAATCTGAGTATGCACACAAAGGAAAATCTTCCTTGTCTTTTGATTTGGATCTATAAGCTTATATATCTATATATATCCAGTGATCGATAAACACACAAGAAGAATATCATTACTGTGAAAAGTTGAATTTCTTTTTGTTGTTTCCATCACATCTTATTGCTATATATGTGCATTTGAAGAAAATTATAGAAACATTTTAGCATTTGAATTTTATTTTATTTTTATTTTTTTGCTGTTTTGTTTCTTTCTTCCTTCAGTTTTCAGTAAATTAATTAGTTAGTTGAGGTTTGGGATTTGTAAAGAGCTAACTAGAGATGAAAGAGAGTACAACAATATGGAATTCAAATCTTCATATGTACGTATAATATATATTATTATATATATATATTTATACACATATTTCTCAGCTTATAATTATTCCCATCTTGGTTTCCATATTTTACTTGAGTAGGTCCTGGATTTAGCAACTGTACACATGCCCCGATCGACTCTACCCAGTTTGTTGGGACTAATTTTGTTGCTCTTTGGTTATCAACTCTCTCTCTCTCTCTCTTTTTCTCCACTGACAGCATTTTGTGATATAGTTAGCTATGTAGCTAAACCATGGGTAGCGTTAAAGCTGTTGCTTTCCCTCTTTTTCTCTTTTCTCGTTTGTTTCTATATATTACCAAAGTTAGGTTAAATCTTCCTACTGCTGCTGAATAGTTAAGGAGTTAAGCAGTTGATAGGCAGAAAGTTGCAGCTTTGTAAAAGGTAGTATCTGTATTCTTATATCACTTTTATTATTATTATTTCAATTTATAATTAATTTTCCATTTCTTGTTTACTAATTCCCAGCAATTAGCTTTTTCTTTTCTTTCTTGCTAGCTAATTCATGTCTTCATCATCCCTTTACAGCTACCTTCACAACATACACAAAAAAGTCCTTTATGTTAAAGGAGGTTTCCTATCGTGAGACTAAGACTTCAGTGAAAGCTTGTAAGAACTTCAATGCTTTTGCTTTATTAATCATGTGAATTAAGACTCAATTAAAATCTCTGCATTTGTGATTAATTCTATGGCATCTCATTGTTTGAAAAAATATATATTTATTAATTGATATACATTCAACCTTGATGGTCTTCTCCAGCTTTAACGTTACTAAGTTCTAATCAAACATCTGGTCTTATAGATTAGCCTAATAAAGGAGAGAAGAAACATTGTATAATCCAAGTGAGTTAATTAATATATTAGAGCTTGGATTATGCCTAATTTTCGATGGTCAAGAAATGCATATGTGTTTAGTCAATAAGCAAATAGCAAGATGAGTTGAGTCTACTGTGAAGCAAACTAAAAGAGTAGAAAAGTCCATTTATGGATGTTTCTGCAATGTGTATTTTGTTTCACTCCTGTGATATCATTACTGCTCATCTATATCTATTTTAAAACTTTTCATCATTTCAAATTATCTTACCTTTAAGCTAGCATATTATAAAGGCGTGATTGTGTCAAAAGGAAGAGGATGTTCAAAACGTGAAATAAGTTGTCTCATAATAAAAAAGGAATGAAAAGCCTGAAATTAAATCAAACCACTAGTAAAGTAATTGCATGAAACATATGAAAAGCATAAATATAATGTTTTCCACATGATAAATAATCTTAGAAAGTCCTCATCTTCCAGAAGTTTTACAATTATTTTCGGTTAGAAATTAGTATACTCTATGTTTGGTTGCTAACCATATTTAATTTATGTACCAGAAATAGTTGTATATATATGTTGTTCACCATTACAAACCTAAGAGCTATTATAGATTTCAAGACATGTACTTGGTTAGCTATGGTTGGAAATACACAGTGCATACACATATGCCAACCAAAATTCTTAGGAAAAGGTGAATTTAGATATCATGTGTAATATACAACGTTTTTGCTCTTACTTTAATGATGCTAGATACTATATAGGCCTTCATGTATTTGATTCAAATTTATGGAATTTCTAGTTTTCTGTTATGCATGCTTCAATTGAAGGCACGTCTTTTCATATATAGGACTATTCTTACCCATATACAGTCTACAGATTGTGGCATTAATCAATAACTTCATGTTTGTAACTGTATGCATCTTGTTTATATTTATTAACTTCATGTTATATGTATATGCATATGCTCCTGCATATATATATATATAAAATTAAGACTTTGTATTATATAGTTGTTGATCTAATTAAACACCTTCTGTTCTGCAGCTAATGAATACAACTATACACTGATCGCCCGCATGCATCAAAAACTCGTCATTTTTGCATTTACCCAAGGAAAAATAAGTGTATACTAAGTATTTAACAGTTAATTAAATTAATTAGGTATAGCAGTCGTATATATATAGTTCTCTCCAAAAGAGTTGTAAACAATTTTTGTTGAGTTTTGTGGTGTAAAAGAAAGAAAGAACGAAAGTTTGTAATAGTATAATGAAACTGCGTGGCCTATTGCATATTTGAGATGGTTGAATTTGAAGACTGCGATTATATATTTATATCAGCTTGTCATTTACTGCATTGGGAAATGTTTTGATTAAGTAAACCAGTTGGTTATAAAAATATAAATTGAATCTATTTTTGTAGATTGCAAGGAAGAAGACATGAATTTAAACTCTATTTCTGTTTTATTATTTAAAGATAGTTAATATTTTATAGTAAGCTGCTTATTTGTGAGATGCATATGTATAATTAATAATCTTCCTTGAGACCATCATTTATAAATGGTAATATGTAGTTAAATGAATGGGTTGTTCAAGTGTTTATAAATGCATAAAGTAATTAAATTAAAGAGTAAACGACGTATTCCCACCCAAGGTTTAACGAAATCCTATGTTGATACCTCTGGTTGAATTTATTCCATATTCTCATCCTTAAATTAATTCCGTTAGTGACTGTTGAAGGTGGTTGGAAACGATGAATTAGGTCGATAAGTGAAGGTATGAGTTTTGTAGAGGAGGTTGTGAGGAGTCTAACGATGGTCTTTGAAGTGATTTTGGACTTCAAAATCAACAAAAAAATGCCAAAAACTGTCGGCTTTGATGCTGTTAACATGAGCCGCTTTTTTACTAATATAAGCCATTCTTCAATCAAAAAAAGCGCTAACATACTTTAGCATGCTAACGTATGCTACGGTATAGTAAAAAGTTGAAAATCTGTTAAAATAAAGCAAATGACGTTATTTTAAGGGTGAAAATTTAGAATAAATGCAATCAAATGTATCAACTTAAGATTTCGCTAAACATCGGGTGGAAATACATTGTTTGCTCTAAATTAAAATACCTAGTTTTCCTCATCCTTCCAACTAATTAACGCTTCTTCAATAACTTTTTAATAATATAGGTAACTAATTCTTTCATATTGATGTATCTAAAACATATACAAAATGAATTAATGGAATATATTACATAATTAAACCTACTACTTAATGCAACTTGGGAAGATTAATTAGAGGAAAGTAATAATGCATTGTTATATAGGCACCATCTGCATGTATAAGTATAAGAAAGGCATGGTCCAATAATTATTGTACGTGGTCATAACAATTAACAATAATAATAATAATAATAAATATAAAAGGTATCTACACGACACGTAATTTTACCATAGAGGTATCCCCAACCTATAAATTAGGTTTAATAGGTATAATAATTGATGGGAAATAAAGAGACCACGTGTGACTGACTACAAATTCGTTACAATTTTTTCTCATCTTTTGTAAAAATAAATAAAAAATAAAATCTGTGAATTCATCTATACTCATTAGTACCGTCAGTGTAGAGGCCGAGGCGTGCATTTGTACAAGTACCAGCACTGCACTGCACTGCACTGCACATCACGCTTGCCATTGCTAATGCTACTCCTACCAACCCTCAATATTATGTGGACCACTTTCTTCTTGTTTCACGTTTATGCATCTCTATGCATTTAATATATGCTTACAATATTTGATTCGTTCAATTATAATTACAAATTTCTCATTCTATTCTATATATCTTTCTATTTAACCCCCCAGTTAAAAACCCTAATTGTTACATTAAATTTACCATAATAGTTCTGGTCTAATGCCACGAGTAAAAATGGTGGTCGGTCCACACTCCAACCAATCTCAATCTCTTCAACTAGTACTACCCCAAACAATCATTGTATCTTCAACCAATAAACACGCGCGTATACCACCTCAAACCGAATACCACTAATATATATATATATTACACCTTTTTATTAAGAACTTATATGATATATCATTGTAATTATCACTTTATTCTCTTGATCATATAACTTCTAACGTCAAAATAATACCAAACTTAGCCCTTGATAATTAACGGTATGTTCAACAATATTGCCCAATATATATTGTTTGCTTTAACTTATTTTATTTTATGAAACTAATTACCCAAAGTAGAATATCATTAAATAATTCTCATGAAAGCTATTGTATATGTTCTTGTATGGAACAATTAACCTATTTTTTATTTCAGTTTGAACCCAATGAATGATATTACTATTTATTTACATATTAAATTAAATATCAGAGCAGAGGTCGGCCAAATCCAATAGTCATCGATTCGGACCTGCCGAATGCAGGTAGTCCTTTAACATATCAGATTATGCCATTATGGGCCTCTTTAGAATTTGGGCCAGGCTAGGCCGTCATGTCGGGTCAAATCCATAAATATTTCATCTGAAGAAGAGAATATTGATAGATTTCTCAACAATCTCGTATCCAATTGAAGAATCTCTCACCGAGTGGATGTGTTAAGAGTTGAGTTTTGTGCGTGTAAATGGATTACAGATGTGTTAAATGCGGGTTTCGGATCAAAACTCTGTTCGTGCAATATTCTCCTGGAAACATTCGACTCATGAAATGTGTAATATTTCTCTTCCCTGTTGCTTTCCCTTTCTCGCCTTAAATTGCAAATTTTCGCATTTTAAATTGTTTCATCCACTCCTTTCATTGATAGGAGAACTGCAGAGCAGTTGCTGACGAATACATTGAATGTGAAATCATGGTGAAACCCTTTTTAAGCTTTTAATAATTTGTAGCAATGATTTTTCCGAATTTTGGTTGGTTTGCTGAGTATTTCCGTTTCTTTTGGAGATTGTAGATTCTTTTGATTGATTTGATTCTACACAAGCCACAAGCTTATAGGCATCTTCTCTATAATGTCATCAATCGCGAAACAGTGAATCTTGAGGTAATATTTTCTTATTAATCTCATCTTTTCCCATTGCTAATTGATATAAAGTTTGTTTTATATCCGAGTTTTATGAAGGTTTTTACATTGCTTGTAACTATTCTACTTCATCGTAGTGACTTTAAGATAACATGATCTTTGTACTTAACAACCTTGCAGGGTTTATTATGGAAGTCAACTATTGGTTTTATTCTTCTGGATGCTTGTATCCTTGGTCATGCAATTGATAATCTTCTTTGAGCCTTTAACCAGTTCATTATTTTTTTAGAAAATTCATGTGAAATTTTCTGTAAAATTCCTTAGCTAACTAAGACAGAAGTCTGCTTTTGAGACGAAGCAATGAAGAACAGTCCTCACCCATGAATTTTTCTTCTTTAGTTTGGCTATGTCGAAAGGTAGGGACACGTGATAATTTTTTTACATTATTTGATGGATTTTATAAATAATTAGTGAATGAGTTTATTATTATCATCACTTGTAGATGTTGAAGGATGTTGTGTTTGGAAACATAATGTTTCTTTGTGTTTTTCTTCTTGCGTCAAGATTTTGCCTAAATACATCAGCTGGAGTTTCCAGGTAAATATTGCATTACTTTTAATCTGTATCTTTGCATTTAGATACTTTTGAGGTCAGCAATAGTAACCGTGCCTGCATTAGTTTTTAACCAGCTCTATCATTGAGTTTTGCTTTGAGTCAGAAAACTTCTCCTTAGTTTTGGCATTATTGAACTAAGGATACTGGACCATGTACGGGATGATGAAAAAAAGGATCACTTCATGAGGTATTTTTGGTCTTTTAGCAGATACAACTAAAACAATGTGTAGTAGAATTAAAGTAGGTAAGAGGAATGTGGTACTTCTTTTAAGAATTAGCATTCCAAGAGCATTGCATTCAGAAAAACCTACAGATATTTCCTCCTTCCCCCAGTACAGCCAATTCCACATCTTGTGAACTTTAAGATGGTCATTATAAGCCCTTTACTAGAGTGTCTTTTGCATATTCCAAGAGAGAGCGCACTATGCTCAGGTTAGTTTCTTCAGCAACTGTATTGGGTATGAGAAGTGAAATCATGTAATTGTTTATTCAGTTTGTGAAAAAAAATATGATTGAGAGAACAAAGACTTTTGCATCTAAAACTAAATTGTTGCATTAAGTGTTGTCGAGCATTCTATTTGTAGCATTCTTGATGTTTATGGTCATTGTAGTCATTATAACTTAGCAAAATTTTCCAATAATTTACAGGTTCAAAGACTTTCTTCTTGCAATCCTTATTTCCAGTTACTTTAAGATTTTTCTTGTTGCGATGATGGTATGGTTTCTCAACAGTATTTAAGTATTGATTATAGCTCATTTGTAGCCAGTATATTTAATGGCTTCTTGTTCACGCCTTCTGCAATCTTCTCACTTTGTATTATCCATCTAAGTTAGAGTTTGCCTTTTGCAGATTTGGAGATTCCCATCTTCTGTGATATTCATTATTGATTTGCTGGTTTTATCATCCAATATAGTGGCTTTAAAAGGTTAGAAATATAGTTTTTTTTCACTTCGTAGAAGGTGTGACAAATAGCCTTTATGCATAGATGTTACGCTCTGCATCATAATAACTTTTGTCAAATCATGTCCTGTTGTAATAACTTGCAGAGTATCCTTAATATAACTCGTATTTACTGGTGGGGTTGGGTACTTTGTTTTTACTTATTATTTCACAATGAAATGTACAATGAATTTATAGCAAAAACAAAAGACTAATCTAGGAAGTAAATTGTTACATTCCTATTATAACTGATCTAATTCTTAATAGCTTTGATCCTAACCTAATATAGAAGATAGTCTTTAATGAGAATAATCCTATTTCCTATTTTACACTTCAACACTCCCCCTCAAGTTGGAGTATATAAGTCATATGCACCAAGCTTGTTACAAATAAAATCAACATGAGAACCCTTGAGAGACTTAGTGAGGATGTCTGCTAACTAGTCGTTGGAACTGACATAACTAGTTGCAATACACCCTGATAGAACTTTCTCTCGAACAAAGTGACAATCAATTTCTATGTGTTTAGTCCTCTCATGAAACACTGGATTTGAAGCAATATGAAAGGCAACCTGATTATCACAGAGTAACTTCATTTGTGATACTTCAACAAATCTCAACTCTTGAATTAGTTGTTTTAACCAAACAAGCTCACAAGTGGCTAAGGCTATTGCACGATACTCTAATTCAACACTTGACCTTGCAACAACCGCTTGTTTCTTACTTTTCCATGAAACTAGGTTTCCTCCAACAAGAACACAAAAACCTGAGGTAGAACGTCTATCAGATGGAGAACCTGCCCAATCAGGATCTGAATATCTGACAATATGTGAATGACTCTTATTTTCATACAGACAGCCTCTACCTGGTGCTCCCTTGATATACCTTAAAATCCGGACAACTGCATCCCAATGACTATTACATGGAGTTTGAAGGAACTGACTTACAACACTGACAGAAAAGGAAATATCAGGTCGTGTGATAGTAAGATAGTTAAATTTTCCAACAAGTCTTCGATACCTTCCAGGATTAGCAAGAGGCTCCCCTTGTCCAGGTGAAAGTTTTAAATTAGGATCCATAGGAGAGTCTATTGGTCTGCAATCTGACGTCCTTGTTTCCTCTAGAATATCCAGTGCATACTTCCTCTGAGAAAACCAACATTTACAGTGTAAATCTATCGACAACCAACAATCGAATGGCCCGGAGGTAAGGAAACTAACTCCCAAGTATGATTATAATGCAACCTCAGGTTTTTGTTGGAAGAAACCTAATTTCATGGAAAAGTAAGAAACAAGCGGTTGTTGTAAGGTCAAGTGCTGAAGAAGTGTATCGTGCAATGGCCTTAGCCACTTGTGAGCTTATTTGGTTAAAACAACTAATTCAAGAGTTGAAATTTGTTGAAGTATCACAAATGAAGTTACTTTGTGATAATCAGGTTGTCCTTCATATTGTTTCAAATCCAGTATTTCATGAGAGGACTAAACACATAGAAATTGATTGTCACTTTGTTCGAGAGAAAGTTCTATCAGGGTGTATTACAACTAGTTATGTCAGTTCCAACGACCAGTTAGCAGACATCCTCACTAAGTCTCTCAAGGGTTCTCGTGTTGATTTTATTTGTAACAAGCTTGGTGCATATGACTTATATGCTCCAGCCTGAGGGGGAGTATTGAGTGTAAAATAAGAAATAGGATTATTCTCATTAAAGACTATATTCTATATCAGGTTAGGATCAAAGCTATTAAGAATTAGATCAGTTATAATAAAAATGTAACAATTTACTTCCTAGATTAGTCTTTTGTTTTTGCTATAAATTCATTGTATATTTCGTTGTGAAATAATAAGTAAAAACAAAGTATTTCTTCACAGGGATGCATGAAATTTCTAAAGATAAAGTTGGAAGGTTTCAATTATTCAAATTAGGTATTTTTGTAAATGGTATTTATACCTTTATGGGAACTCTTTGAAACTGGAAAATTAATCATGGGGAACTGCAGTGCTTCACAGAGTATGCCAGGCAGCCATCCTGCAACATTTGTAATAGAGAAGAATTAAGTTTGATGGGTAGAAGTTGTTACATGTCTGAGGAGGGTATGACGAGAATAAGTGAACACATAAGCTTCATTAGGATAAGATGGCCTGTTTTTATTGCTTTGGTTAATGATCGACTGATGGCTTGTTTATACATTCGGGAATTAGCTAAATGTTATACCTGTCTGGCTATCAATTTCTATCTTAAATACGTATGGAACACGTTTCATAAATGTCAAGACGGAATTGAAATTGAGAATTTCATGCTGCTTGTGTGGATCTCTAACATGCTTCCTTTTATGTGTAAATCAGTGATCACGAAGTCAGCTATGAACAAAATTGTAGGGGCCTGCTTTGTTGCACATGCTGTAAAGTTCTTTGTTATTCAAGGGCTCAAGTTAACATCTTTTAGATAATGTAGACATTTTTAATCGTCTGATTGCCTCGATATATTTAAACAGAGCATATGATGTTGCGCTTTATGTAAAATTTAGTTAAGATTATCCTGCACTGCAATGGCTCCGAATCATGTTGAAGACATAAGGTACTTCTGACTTCTGAGTTCGAGTTATTGCTTTTCATAATTTGAAGTAGGGCATTCCCTTCACTTCCACCCTTGATCTAGTGTAAAGATCTTTTCTCGTGCTAAATTAATTAAGCATGCACCACTCCAAACTATGCAAAACAATTAGTACTTAAACTGGTTTTAGTCTTCCATATAGAGCAAAAGACGCTTAAAGAGAATTTGATCATTGAACCAACACTGGCAAAGGGGGGCAAAGGGTTCATGGAATTAAAAGAAATTTTCTGGTGATTTCCTATCTAGTGATTACAGAAGCCAACCAACATCTTATTCATTTATCAAACAGAGAAACAATTAAGATTACGTTGGTGAGATGGTAAACTGTAAACGCCCTTGTTGATTTCTACAGCATAAGTTTTCAATCTTATCGTTAAATGACATCTAACATCGTGGAGAATACCCATGGGTCACAAGGTCGTCACATCCCTAACGGGCCCATTACTAGGCTTATACTATTAAGATTCTGAACATCTTTATACCTTCATAACACCATTATATTAAGACTTGAAGCACACACATAACATAAGATAAAGCTCAATAAATGGCCCAAAAAAAAAAAATTACATTCATTATGATTATACGGAGATTTAGGGATTGAAACCCATAAGGACCTTCTGTAGCTTATTAGTAAATGGTATTGGACCTATTGGTCATGTTGATGACATCCTAGGCTTAAAAAGTGTTAAGTAGGGCATCACTTAATGAAGAGACGCCATCTCCCAAATACAGAATACCGACAAAACTATACCTACAGCTATATTCCAAATGTATATCGATGGTGGGATTTGCTCATGGTCTAATGGAGAAGTCTCCATGACAATGAAGGAGCCCTTTCTATTGCTGCAATCAGACGTAGTAGATCTTGACTTTAAATTTGTTTCTGCTTTGGTTGTTTCTGGCATTTTACGATCTTTGTGCAGCTTCGCTGTAGGATTTCCCATTTGAGGCAGATTAATAGCAGGCTCTTTAACTTCTCTCGCCTGCAAAAAGAAATCATGAAGAGTTTTACATCATTATATAAATAATAATACCACCTGCAATATGTTGAGACTTGAGCTGAAAAGTGTGTGGAGTAGCATCATTACCCTATCTCTGTATACTGTGCGTGAACCTTCACCATTTAATTGGAGTATTTTAGGAGCACATTCCCTTTCTACCAAGTTGTGGGATTTTGGTTGAGGTTGAGCTTTCCAAGCTCTGGTGTTAGTAGGTAAATCACTATGGACCAAATTAATTCTCTTAGGCATATCTGTTTTTGAGTTGGCAGTTGATGCCAACATCTCATCATGAAATAAACCATATTCTCCGTTTTCATTTCGGCGAAGCTTGGGAGAAGGTCGAGTTTCAGTATATACTCGAGTCTGAGGCTTGAGAGAAGGTAGAGTTTCAGTAGATGCTCGAGTCTGAAGCTTGAGAGTCTGAAGATTGAGAGAAGGCAGAGTTTCAGTAGATGCTCGAATCTTTTGCATCTGCTGGTATTCTTTCAAACCAGCATCCCCATACTGTTACATATAAATATGAAAGTACAAGTTAATCTTAAAAATTTCCTAAATCAACAAGGTATAAAATATTCACAAAAACTATGGTGGCAGTGGCAGGAGTGCAGCAAAGCATGAGTATTTGGCTAGTGCAATATGTCAACATATCCCAAATTATCAAGTGAAGATCTTTCAAGACCCATGATACTAATAAAAACCTCCTATATAACACGACTTCAGTTAAAAAACATACATGAAATAAATTTTCCAATAACTAATAGCAGATATTTCTTTACCTGTGCCTGGAGGGTTTCGGTGTCACTATCACTGCTATCCCCAACATACACTCCTCTCAGTGGCTGTGTTGGGTTGCACCCATGAGGACGGGTGTGAATGGTTTCTTCATAGAGTTGAAAATCGGTTGACAATAGTGAATTCACAAATTCGTCATCCTGGTCACTCATGTCTAATTGAGAACTCCTGACATTAAATTCGTTATTAGATCCATTGGACGGCGAAGAACCTTGCTCTGGGTGCAGAAACGATTGCAGTATAGAGAAGTCATCTTCATTTATCTCATCACTGGAATCAAGCATATCTAGTTCCATTGGCAGCTCACGGTTTACCTTGAGTAAAAATGAATAATCAAGCATTAGTTCTAGGCATGTTCTTATACTCTGATAATACAGATTAAGACAGATTCCTACTTACCGGTGAACCAATATTTTGTGGTTCATGATGCCCACGATTAAACCGAAAACTGCTTTCATTTTGCAAAGTAGCCGACTTATCATCGAATTTTAATTTTAGGCGACAAAGAACAAATTCCTTCTGAACAAGTCAAAAGGAAAAAAAAAAAAAAAAATTCATCAGCCCGCATTATACTACTTTATTTAACTTGTAGGTGATAAAACAGAGCAAACAGAATTCCATTAATCAATTATTTGCATTGATATCACTCCAACTAAATTGCTGCAAAATCAACAAAGCCCGGCTACATTACGCAGCCCGGCACTTAATCCAACAGAAATTAGATAGAATATAGAAAAATGGCAGAACACATTTGATACAGAAATTTATGGATAAAACATGAAAGCGAAGACAGAAGACAAGCCATAATCACTAAACTAGTTGAAGTAGTAAATAAGAAAGAAGGAAAGGTATGCCTGATAAGAAGCGGCGTAGATGGAATGAAATTCATTCATCACCCAGCTGGTTCTGATTGTATCAGGATTACGACCTTTGTAGAAAACCAAAGTCTTTTTGATACCAATCACCTCCCCACTACCTCTGTTCTTGACCTCACGATCCCTACCAGTTATTTTCCAGGATCCTGTTCCCTCACTAGTTGTCCTGGCCGTCCGTTTACTGTTGGCATACTTTTTAGAAGGTGCACTGAAAAAGTACCAGACTTGATCATCTGGGAGTAGCGAGTGCTCTGCATATGTGTAAAAACAAGTTCACTAATTTGTTGGTTTAAAATGATTGTGTAGTGAGTGTGAGTGTATAACTGAATACTTACCGCGCAATTCCCAAGGATTGTAATTAAGGATATCAACTTCTTTAACGGTAGGGAAAGGGAATTCATGGCCGCTCATCTTCATTTCAAGATAATACGTGATGATTTCTTCATCAGTTGGACGAAATCTGAATCCCACCACCTCGTTCATTTTAATTATAGAAATGGATGGAAGTATAGGAGAGAAGAGAAAGAGTAATATCGTAAGCTTTACAAATTACAATACAAGAAGAAGGCAGCAGAAATAGCAGAGATAGATAGGCAATGGCGATTGATCACTCACTATTCTCGTTTATATACAGACGTAACACATTGACTTGACTTCAACATTCTCTGTTGCCTTAAGTCTTCGTGGGGTTAATTACGAAGATATCTGCTGCCTTTTGGATACGTGTTCTCAGGATACTGGATGGAGAGGTACTTAAGAGCAGCGAGCGAAACCGCGTCTGCCTCTCTTTCCACCGACCAAGTTTATTAGAGGGTTGCAGTCTCTTTAGTCGTTAATAAGAGGCAATTATTAGAGTCTTTATTCTATCGATAAATTCAGTATTTAGAAGGATTAATTGAAGTATATATAAATTGATCTAATATTTTTCATATTTAAAAAAAAAAAAAAAAAAAAAAAACCAAGTTCCCACAAATATAAATATTAATAAATCATAAACTCAAATCAGTTAATGACCCAATTATTATCTCTTAAAAACTTATGTTATATATGGCTAGGATTAATATTTAGGGATAGATAGATAGTTATAGAATCATGGTTAAAAATACAGCTACTAGATAAAAGTAATATTATATATAAACCTTCCATTGATTTTGTTTTCTTCCCTTCTCAAATTGTTTCATTTTGTTTCTGGTCACTTTCCTTGATTTGTTATGTTCCCCACTTACTTATATCTACCCCTTCTTTCATAAGTTCTTTCAATAAATTACTAAAAGCAGCTTTCCTAGAATGTTCTAGAATACCTTAATTTCAATTTTATTTTTACCTACCCAATTCATATATTCTTGTTACATTCTCCCTGTCACTGTACCACGTTTCAATTTCCACAAAAGCAAATTCATTTTAGTACTGATTAGACTACAATCAAACATGACCATAGCTTACACTGAGCTACATAACACGTACAACAAACACAACTTACAAATTAAGACATGTATAGAAAAAATCACTCAAACTTTTATTTGGGAACTCCACTCCCCAACAATATTGCATATAATTTGTTTCTTTATGGATGACATGACTCTTCCCTGCGATTCTGTCCATCACCTGTCATCCAACCCTAACTATTCATTCCATATTTGCATCATGATTTCGAGAATCGTAAGCTCAACTGTAGCTTGCTTTGCCGCCGGTATAAGCATTTGACCCATCCTCTAATTGTCCTTTAAGGCGACAGAAAACAAATGCATTCTGCAAAAGTTTAAAGAAAAAAGAAATGCTCATAAATATAACAACATATTATCAGGGTAAATAATAAAAAAAAAAAAAATAAGAAACAATATGATCAGTAAACTTATAATGCCTGATAAGAAGAGGCGTTGTTGGAATGGTATTCATGTATAATCCAGTCGGTCTTCACCGCTTTAGAACCACGTCCTTTGTAGAAAACCAAAGTCGTTTGCTTCCCAATCTCATTCTCTTCGCATTCGTCCCAAACACGACGATCATTACACGTCACTTTCCAGTAACCACCCTTGGTTGTTCTTTTGGTCCCTTTACCGTTGGCATACTTGCAAGGTGTACTGAAAAAGTACCACTCTTCATCATCTAACAGCGCTGAAAGCTCTACATGCAGCATCAAAACAACAATCAATGAATGGTTAAATAATATGAAATATAAACCGATTGTGCAAGTGGTGATAAACACTTACGAGGCAATTCCCAAGGCTCGAATTTGCAAATATCAACTTCGTTAACTACGTTGTGAGGAATATGAAGGCCAGCCATCTTTCTTTCCAGATAATACGTGATAATTTCTTCATCAGTTGGGTGGAATCTGTGTCCCAGCAATTGAACATTAAAATTGCTCATTTTCTTCTTTCAATTCAATACATAGAAAGTATATATTTTTCTATATATAGAAGAGAAAGAGATCATTTATTTATAGAATTGGAGATGTGATGGTTTCTATCTCATTGACTAGTCTTGACCTTATTTAAGAAGTTTGCTGACGTGATATAGACACGTAGAAGTGTTAGTAGACTAGACCCCATAACTCAAACTTAAAACCGTGTGAAGGGATACGTACACGCCATGCACGTATGGATCTCATGTCATCGTGTATGCAACAGAATTATTATTATTATTATTATTATTATTTTACTTTTTATCAATTAATAACATCTGCTAACTCAATTTTTATTCATTCAATTAAATATAAAACAATTCATGAAGGAATCACTATAAACTTTCTTGTGAAGTCGTCCTGTTGCTCACTAACTTTCCCTTCTTTCAGAAGTTAATAAATTATATATATCAAGGCAATTCTAATATATATGTATTCAAATATAAATATGATTTTAGTAGATGTTCTAGAGAACATTCTGGAAAAGCTTTTAGTGCAGTTTAGTTAGTGATCAAAATGCTTTCATGGAACATTCTAGACTGCCTCAATCTGAGTTTAATTAAAAAGGAATCAGCATTATATTTGTTTATTTATTCGTTACTTGATTCCGAGAACTTTTGTTTTAAGCTTCAATATATTTTTTAAAATTTGTTGGTTTTGAGTTTGTTATGCCTATATGATTAATCAGCTTCTTGCAAGTTTCTACCTCCTTGTGTTACAAGCTTCAATGAATATTCTAGGAATGCTCAATTTCAGTTAATTCTTAACAAACATTTTTCATAGGAACGACACTTTTTTATTAGTACGAGAAATTATCTATGTAGAGAGAAATAAGGGTCAAAGTATGCATGTCCAAAAAAAAAAAAATATAAAATAAAATCATGATAGACTTTATTTCCGATATTATGGAGTACTGTTTTATGTATAGGTGGTGATGTTATAATTTAATTTTTTTGACACGCTGTAATAATCATCCATTGTAATACAATCAAATAGTTAAATTAACAAGTGAAAGTGTATTTATTTTAATGTCAACTCACATATATAGTTAATAATTGAATTACATAATTAAAAACATTCTTAAACATTCTTTAATAAAGTTGATAATTGTAAATACTTACAAATGAAAATACTTTGCATTACATATACTAAAAACATAATATAGTATGTCCTAATTACTAATTAAATATTCAAGGGGTAACTCCATATTTATTCCAGCACTGTAGTTGATTCCATCAACATGCCACACTTGAAATTCCCGTTCAGACTCGCATCTGAAAATGACTAAAAACAAAGTATTATTACCATAGATGTCTTTATAAAAAAAAAATATGATTAGTTAATAACTATTATTGAAGTCTTATGAAATAGACATTAACATAATACTAATAGGGATCAATTTAATTAATACAGTTTTACCATTCATCTCTACAGTGATTATATATACAATAAGCAAGTGAGAATATCAGCTTAATTTATTACAATCCATATACAAATAAGTAATCCTTTTACTACCTGCTATTATATCAAATTTCAGATATTAATTTCGTGAAGTAGAAGCCCAATGGGAACTTGGTTGATCATCTTCTGTATCATCTGATTTTCTTTTCAAGCGACAAAGAACATAACTCTTCTGCACGAGTCAAAAATAAAAATTATTATTATTTTAAAAAAAGAAGCTCGTTATCTTGTGGTTGTGTTATTTGGCAGATGACATGAGGAAGAAATATTTATTTTTATATTAAAAAAGAAGCTAAAGTTTCTTACGTACTTATTAAACTTTTAGCGAAAGTCAGAACAAACAAAATATCATTTTTAGCTACCGCTGCTATCCTTCATACTACGTTCAATAAGATATTTTGTAATTGTATGCATGCATATTTGTCCATGTACCGTACACAAAATGTCCATATGATCTAGAAAAATGTCGAGAGCAGTAAAAAAAAAAAAAGATTGTAGTTTTAATACTTCAAGTTGTACAATATTAATCAATATATCAGTAAGGAGCAACTAAATTAAACATGCATCTTGTCGCTTAATTATTCATCAATCGTAAAGTTTAAAAAATCGGAGGTAATGCAGGAGGTTACTAAAAGAGATGATGATCGTCCTGGGAAACGGGAATGCAAGGCAAAAAAATATAAGGAAGATGAGAACAGATATATGCCTGATTTACTGTCTGGGAATGATATTCATGCATCGCCCAATTTGTCTTGACGGCATTAGAACCATGACCTTGGTAGAAAACCAAAACTTTTCTTTTACCAATCAGTTGTCCACTGTTGTCATCGTAGATTTCACGATCTTTGCCAGTGACTTTCCAAAATCCAGCCCTAGTTGTTCTTTCAACTACTCTTCTACTAGTACTCTTATTGGAAGGCTTATAAGCAATTGTACTGAAAAAGTACCACTCTTGATCATCTGAGGATAGTGGTGAATGGACTGCACAAAAAAATATAAAACAATTTGGCATTTCAAAATATATAGATAGTTTAACAATATTAAATTATATGTATACGTACCTGGCAATTCCCAAGGTTCAAAATTGGAAATATCGACTTCCTTAATTACTGCAGAGAAATCAGTGCCACACTTCATCTTTGATTCAAGAAAATGGTTGATGATTTCATCTTCAGTGGGATGGAATCTGTATCCCATGCCATTAAAGTTGTCCATTAAAATTGATTTGATCAAAGTAATTAATGGAAGAGAGATTAAAATAAGTTTTGGAAGGGTGATAAGAGAGGTAGTAAGTGATGAGTAAAACTAGGCAGTTGGTTATATGTATATATAGAAAAATATAAAAATTGAATGGCATTGACTTGGTTATTGGTCAAAGTCTTGGCCTTAACTAAGAAGCTTGGGTTGGGAAAATTATTTGGGAAGGTGTTGTTGGAGACTAGTCTCCAAAACATGATACAACTTCTTCTGCTAACTATAATGCATCTTATATCATTGGCTTGGGACGTCATATCGCACAATCACTTTAATTTTTATGTAATTTTATAATTAGTTAGTTTGTCATATGACATATATCTATCCTTCCATAGCAAGTTTATAAAGTCAGGCAAATCAAATGCTTTCCATTTTTCAATTATTCAAAGATGCTCTTTCTGGGAACATTCTTCTCAATTTCACTTTGTTCAAATTATCACTCTAAACACAACATATTACTAGAAAGGATCATCTGACCAATTGTTATAACTAAGTGGAAAAGGAAAAGGGGACACAATAACTTCTCCACTAAACATCTATATGCTCAGTAAATTTTTGACTATTAACTACATTTCCATCAACATCTCCTTCTTCTCCTTCTCCTTCTCCTTCTCCTTCTCCTTGCCTCTATTCATTCATCCCATAACGTCTCTAAACAGCTTCGGATCATTAAATTAATAAATAAATATAGTGGTAGTAGTCTCACAAGGGGTAACCCATTACACCCTGTGGTTCCTAGAAACTACAAAGTAGGTTTATAAGGAGGGTCCACTAACCAATTAAGCATTAGATTAGATTTGTACTCTCTTTTGTTTTGTTGACCACCGCACTAAGCCACACTTGTCCGTACATATTTTAGTTCATAGTTGTCCACATTTTCATACAAACATAAATTAATAAGCTATGTGTCCAAATTAAACCAAAAAAAAAAGTATTTAATTGTATATTTTAAATATCAATTCAAATGAATTCTTACATATTTTATTAAACCAATTTTTTTTTTTCAAGACTTTTAGTTTTGTTGTAACTGTTTTCTGGAAGCTTGATTTTGATGATTATTGAGATGTGATTCAATTTCGCCATTGTTTCCTATTGCATTTGTGGTTAAGAAGATTAAATAAATATAATCCAAATTAACTCTAATGTTGAAGCCAATTCCACATTAACTTTTTCCTAAACCTAACAAAATCAAATTCCAAATACTTTAATTGACTTCGCATCTCTTTTTCCAAACTATAAGTTTCTGAATAAAATCGAAGTTAAATGAGTAATTAAGTACATAGTTTTTATTAAATTATAATTTCGACACAAAATCAAGTTAACCCACAAGTATTTTCAAAATTAAAAAATAAAATCAAGTTAAACGCTTAATACCTGTTAATTATCATATAATAAAAATTGGATTTAAAAGATTTTCAATATTTTTATATTGAAGATAAAATTGGTAGTATTGTAAGTTGGATCTACTAGTATATAAAAACTTCATATTGAACGAAGATCAATTGATAAAATGATTATCATCCTGTTCAATTCTAACCATTTAGCAGAAGCTGCTCCAAATGGGAAACATCGAGTACCTCAAACAAGCAACACCATGAATTTCAGCTTTACATTTATCTTACTTTACTTTTTAAAAGGTTCAATGGTTCGTTTCATCGTAACTTTACACCACCAAAAAACAAGACCTCTTACAACATCAATGAAAAATCACCAAGATTGCTATGGATTCATGCCTATCCGCCAATGCATGTAGGAATAGGACCTGTTGTCTCTTTGTGTATATTACTCAGTGAAGAGACCCAATTTCCCAAATAAAGAATATGAACATAATAACAGCTACAACCACATTGTGAACATATACTGATTTTGTTTTATGGTCCAGAAATGGTGTCTCCAGGAAAATGAAACAACCCTTTCTGTTGCTGCCATCAGATTAATTGGATATAAACCTCAAACTTTTTTTCGAATTAATTCTTTGAGCCGTTTTCCGCTCTGCCCCAAACTTCACAGCAGAGTTCTCCTCCAAGGGTGGATCAAAGGCATGCTCTGCTGCTCTCCCCTGCAAACAGAAATAATGCTAAGTGGATTTCAAAAATAATTACATAGACTACATTCAACATTATGAGGTTTCAATTCAAAGGTCTGTGGAGACAGATTATCTTCCTGTTCTCCGTGCTGCTGCCGTAAATATCCTTACCTCATACTTAGATATTGCTTTGTGTGAACTTTTAGCCCACAATTGGAGTGTTCTAGGAGAACATTCTTTTTTAATGAAGTCCTCCGATATTGGTAGATGTTGAGCTTTGAAGGTTCTTTTGCTAATAGGAAAATCATCATGGACCAAATGAATACAATTGATCTGAGGATAATCCGCAGCTGAATTGACAGGTCTGAATGAGCTGTCTCGATCCGGAGGGGATGGAGTTTCCAAAACTTGGCCACTCTGTAACATATAGATATAAGCGGACAAGTAATTATTTTGTTTAAAAAAAGATGTCTAAAATAATGTATCAAATTCTTGAAAACTATGGCGGCCAGAATGCAGCAAAGCAAGAGTCTTGGCTTGATGAGCCAGATTTCATGAAAACAACTCAAATCCTCATCTTAAGATCTTTCAAGATTCTAAAGATTATAGGACAATACCAACATTGTAATGGTATCCGCGAATGAAGCATCAGTCATCATAGCAATATATATTAATCTCCTATAGAATTTAGCCACAACCCAGTAGCTATTGGAGTGTATTCTCGAATCGTGTCGCCACAGGAGAAAATTACTAACCTCTTCATACAACTTTTCATATTCTTTGTCATGGATGTGAGTCTTTTCCCAATATCTATCCTTGGAAGCCTATAGTGACTTAAAGAAGTCATCTTGCTGCTCACTAGAGCCAAACTCATCAATAGACAAATTAGAATACAAGGATCCATGCTCCTGGTGCATCGGCAACTCCGGTCCAGAGAGACGGTTGTGATCAAATCCAATAGAGTCGAGTGGATCTAATTCTACTATAGGTTGGTCATAGTTTACCTATAGTGAAAATCAATATACACAAAGCATCAGATATACGTATGTTTCTCAGGCTCAACAAGCAAAGTTAATGAAAAATCAAGGCATGCTTTTTTCTTACCTGTGGATCAGTATTTTCCACAACATAGTTTCCAGAGTCAGATTTAGAGCTACGACTTGGTTCATTACTGTTAGATTCATTACCCGATTTTCCTTTCAAGCGCCAAAGAACAAATTCTTTCTACAAAAGTTAACGGTCAAATTAATAAATAAAGCTCATCATACATCTGCAATTCATATTATTTCTCAGTAATGACTATTTTTCATTAAAGCCCGATTAGATCACTATCCTACCAAACTAATTTTTAGTAGAATCATAAAACAACTAAAACATCCTGCATTTTTCATAATATGCATTAATACCATTCTTATTAAATCCATGTAAGATGTAAATGATCAAGATAGAAATTCCCTGCCTCAAACAACGCATACCGTTTAAACCAAGATTCTAATATACTTATATTACTCTTTATCTTCAACCAGCAGTTAGACAACCCACGAAAAGCAGCTAGATTAAGCAGCATAACATTTAATTAAATTCAACTGAACATGCAAATGTAAATTAGCAGAGATTATTCAAACAAATAATTCACCAGGAGTCAGTAGTAAATTATAAAGCAAATCAAGAAGTACAACAGACTAGGAACTTGAGAGGTATGAAAAGTAAAAAAATAGAAAAATAGAAAAGAAAATGCCCGATAAAGATTGGTGTGAAGTCTATGCCCTAGGTTTAGTCATATTGTTTAAACAACCAACCTTCTATTTGATTTGCAATTTTATTTCTTTAGTCCTTAGTTTTGTTTTAATTTGTTATTTTTAATTATTTCATATCTCCATTTGTCGATTAATCAAATAGTAACATGATAGTTTATTTTGGTATTTAGTAACTAGTAATTCTCTTGGGATTCGACATCCATTTACTCATTCTTTATTACTTACACAATTCCGTACGCTTGTTGAACCCCAATCATGTAGTCATTACGATATGTGAATCTACAATATTGCAATATAAATAGAGTTAATATATTATATTATATTAATTAATAAGGTCTTTAATAAATTAATGATTCTCACTATTTTACTCAAGCTTAATAGCCCTTACTATTAAACTCGGGAAACCCCGATGGTCTTCCTAGTGGGCCGAAATCCCATTACTTCTATTTCAAATCTTCGCAGGGATAAACAAGCTAAAATAGAATGATCAAGTAGGTCAACAAACTTTAATTCACATCATTTAATAGAACCAACTATTAAACTCAAATGTAAATTAAGCCAACAAACGATTTACACAATTCAATAGTACTAACCATTGTCCTCAAGTGTAATTCTTGGGTCAATAGAGTGGATACTACATGTCACCACATGTATCAAACAAATGCATTACTCTACTATGCCTTTAGTGTGTTTATCAACCTTCGCGGAGGCGAACAAGCAAAATACAGTAGTTAAGTCGAACCCATCACTATTAAGGAAAACTCTAATGTAGCTTATAGTGGAAAAGAAACAAGTAGTACCCTAGAACTAGCTTGCATGACTATTAAAAAACTACAATAAAAAATGGATGACACTAAATATAAGTACGCAAAACCTTATTATCGGAAACGAGAAACTATGGATAATAATAAGTTGCAGAAGTCATAGCTCAGTAGAAAACCATTTGGAAACTTAAACTCCTCACTTAAACTTTAGCAATAACTTCTTGACCAAGGATCACAATCTTTCTTTGAACTTGGATTTTGTATCTCACCCCATTGGGTTGATTTGCTACGCTAAAGAAAGTGATCTCATCATTTATCTTGAGCTTTTTCTCGCGATCAAATTCGAGCCAACCTGCGTTAGCAAGAACAAGTTTTAAGTGACGTCCTTTTTTTTCGAATAGAGAGACTGAAAGGCCATACAACGCTATGGTGGCGCCCATGGCCTCCAATGCTACTGAATTGCTTCCTTGGGGAATTGGATCAAAGAGCTCCAAACAGTCAGTTGGAACTGCTAATCTGTAGTTAACATCTGTTTCACTCAAATTCTTCCTGAAGATAACCTGATCCTCCATTTTTAAATTAATTCCAACTCAAACTTTGCTTGATGCAAATGAAATAAGTAGCTTAGAGTATATATAATACATTGCTATTATTTTCCCTATATAGAAGTTTATGTAACCAGATAGGATCATTATCCCAATCATTTATTTTAGCTCTAGCAAGGTTTACGTCTAAAACTTCTCTAATTTCCTTCTTTAAATCGAAAATGATTCCCAAGATTGGCATTCGGATCTTGGGTGTCACTTGTCCACGTTTGATTGTGAAAAATACCGTGCTCATGATAAAAATAAATGATGATTTAAATTGAGAGTTATAGTTGTAATTAACTTTATATATTAAAAAATTAAAGGCTTGTTGATTTTGTGTAAGACATTAGCAATATGAAATAAACATTATGTAGGTTCATTCTAAATGTATTTTTTTTTCCCATTCACAAGATATTTCATTTGTTTCTAATAAACAAGGTTGCGTAGAACCCAAGCCCCAAAACCACATACATACACCATAATACAATATGAAAAGAACATTATGTATGGTGGCATGCATGGCCAAGGTCTGTGGCGTGCACGGCTAGGGTCCAAACCCATGATAAACAAGCTTGGGTAGAACTTAAATGTTAGTTTAAGAGAGGAGGGAGTCCAACCACATATTCTTTGATCAATTGACAATATTAATTTGCCAATAAAACTTGCTTATTTCTTAATTCTTTATTTGAAACATAATTAATTACTTATTATATATAATAAAAATTAATGTCATGAAGAGCACCATAGCATCCATTTCTTGCATTTTCCTGTTGAACCAGAGTTTGGTAAACGAAAGTGAAAAAATAGTGATTCCGGAATAAAACTGAAGGATGGTGAGAGACTAAAGGTGATGTAAACTTTGAAGGCTTTCATGTCACTGCATGGCATAGACAGCTTCATGAAGGATATGGTTTTAGATTTCTTTTTTAATCTGAGCTTACTTAAACTTTGAGGGCTTTCATGTCGTGCCATGTTAATGAAGTTGAGTTAAGATTATTAACCAACTAAGGTGAACATGAAATAAAACTTAGCCAAACCCCTGTTCACTACGGGATCTTGTCTTTAGGACTTCACCACCTTCAACAAACCCATGCTTGTCCAAGATAAGTTATTGAATTAGAAATCAATTGGTTTCACATTCAATGAAAAGAAGAAAAAAGAAAACAATAAACTAAAATGCAATCCCGAGAGAATATACTAAGTGAGTCTTCAGCTCAACAAACCCATCTCCATTATTTCTTGTGAAGTCGTCTTGTTGCTCACTAACTTTCCCTTCTTTCACAAATTAATAAATTATATATCAAGGCAGTTCTAATATATATGTATTCAAATATAAATAGAATAATGCTATGTACACTAACAAAAAATCATATAACCTAATTACTAACTGACGCGGCAGACCTCTCTTATTGCCACGTCAGTTCCCCCCAAAAACTAAAAAAAAAAAATTTTAAAATTTCAATTGTTAGTATTTGGATTAGTACAATTTGATTAGTGCACATAACATTACTCATATAAATATGATTTTAGTAGATGCTCCAGAGAACATTCTAGAAAAGCTTTTCAGTGCAGTTTAGTTAGTGATCAAAATGCTTTCATAGAACATTCTAGACTGGCTCAATCTGAGTTCAATTAAAAAGGAATCAGCAATATATTTGTTTATTTATTCCGAGAACTTTTGTTTTAAGCTTCAATAGATTCTTTAAACTTTGTTGGTTTTGAGTTTGTTATGCCTATATGATTAGTCAGCTCCTTGTGTTACAAGCTTCAAAAATCTATAAAATCTATAACTTTGAATGATGCCTTCAATGAATATTCCAGGAAGGCTCAATTTCAGTTAATTCTTAACAAACATTTTTCATAGGACCGACACTTTTTTTTATTACTATGAGAAATAATCTGTGTAGAGAGAAATAAGGGTCGAAATATGCATGTCCATGTTGACATGTGAAGAATGTGAATAATTATTACTAGATATGATTGTGCTTAATCACAGTGATTGAGCACGGCTTAGAGTCTACTTCCTAATTGAAGGGATCACTACATTACTGCTGATTGAAACTTTCCTTACACAGTTTACATTTTCTGCATAATTTGATGTAAATCTGTACAAACATAATATATACAAATATACTTTCTTCTCAATTCTTTCTCTTCTCTCGGCATTCTCTGGCAACATAGCTGCTTCTCTTGCCACCTTCTAACATGGTATCGGAGTAGGTTTTTTAACCAAGCTTCTATATCTTCTTTTTTCGTTGCATCCTCTAAAGGTCCAGGCTACTCAAGTTTTTGACTCTTCTCCCTTGCCTATATCCTCTCAAGCCTTCAAATTAATCACCTGCAAAAAGGGCACTTGGATTTGTGCATTTCCAGAATCTATTCACACAACAGCAGAATGAATTCTGACCAAACAAACACAACAAGCAACTAAACTACACAATCAAACCCAAATCTGGCTACCCAACTAGACCTACACCTAGGACTGTAAATGAGCCGAGTTGAGCCGAGCTTTTGGCTTATCGAGCTCGGCTCGTTTACAACAGTGTCGAGCTCGAGCTCGAGCTTGAGCCTGAGTTTGAGCCTAAGCCTGAGCCTGGCGAGCCTCAGAATTGAGACTCGAACTCGAGCTCGATAAGGAGCTCGCTAGCTCGTTAAGGCTCGCGAGCCTTATCGAGCTTCCTCAAGCTCGATCAAACCACCATTTATCCAGGTTTGATTGAGCCAAGTTCCCCTTTTTTACAGCAATCTTCCTGCGTACAGCATTTCATATTTACATAAAATGTTGAATTAACCATGACAGTTTCGAACATTACAAAATGCCTATTACCTTACAAAATCAAAAAACAGCTCTGAATATATACAAATAACATTCCTAGGAGTACAAATACAGTCCACCAATCAAAATCACTATCCACCAGTAGTCTGCAGTAGGCCTATCTTCGACGAAAACCACAATTTCCCCTTGCCTATAGAAAATGTTCAATTTAGTAAGTATTTTTTAAGGTAACTATGACAAGAAAAAAATATGTATAATCATGAAACAAAAGCAAAAGGAATAAAAGTTTTACCTATGCATGCCTCCTACCACAGCCAAACCATGAACAGAATCCCAAAAACTTACAAGATAGAAAGGTTGATCTCCAAAGGTTGCTGCTATTCATAAAAATGACAAAGGAGGAGTAATTGAAGTTTAGTTAGTATAAATATAAAGTAATAACTAAATTTAATAAAAACAATATTCAATATAAGTATGTAACCTACTTTACATCCTTTCTTCACCCCATTCAATGTCCTGCTCCAATCACATCCACATAAGAGCATCTCCACCGTGTTGGGAGCCAACGATGATCGGTACGTGTCAATAACCCTACTGCCGGCGCTAAAAGCAGACTCAAAAGCAACCATAGTAATAGGAATGGCTAATATGTCACGAGCCATGGTAGACAAGATAGGGAACTTTGTTGAATTAGCTTTCCACCAGGTCAAAGCATCAAACGTTGTAGCGTCCCCAACACATTTATGGCATCCCTCTCCTAGGTAACAGTTTAACTCTAATTTCGTTGGTTCAACCGTCTCAACCACATCCAGAAACTCACTAAAATCATCCTAATCATCCGCCATCTTTGTCGTTGCCCCTGACCCCTTACCAACCTCCTGAAATGCACCCGCTGTAGATGCAAAAGCGCGGGCAGTTGTCAATGCTTTACTGGCATCAACATACTCCCTATATACCTCATACAAGGCATCTCGAACAACATCCATATTTGCCCGCGATTCAGGCTGAGGATACATCTTAGGGAACGCCCATTCAATTACCCTCATCTTCAGTCTAGGGTCCAAAATAGCAGCCACACCCATCAATAGATTACATTCTCCCCAATATTTGTCAAACTTTTCTTTCATTTTCCAAATCATGGTCTGTATAAACACATCTCCATCCTGACTCTTACTATCCAACATAATTTTTATTGTACAAACTTGTTTTAGAAACAAGCTTGATGTCAGATAATCACTCCCCGATATCAAATTCGACGCACTACTAAACACCTTCAAAATAGAACAAATTTTCTCAACTTTGTCCCAATCCTCCTCCTTGGGACAATAATGATAACTCAAATCCCTCTCCTTCAAACAAGGGAAAACACGCCAAAATTTCATTGCCGTTGTCAACATATCATATGTTGAATTCCATCGCATTTTGCAATCAAGAATAAGCTTGCGAAATGGCAATCGGCGCTGCTGAACAATCTCTGCAAACACCTTTAGTCTACTCTCCGATGAATTGATAAACGCCATGGTATCATGGATGTCCTCAATAATGTGTCTAATCTGATAAAGACCATTTTGAAGAACCAGGTTCAAGATATGTGCACAACACCTCACATGAAACATCTTGCCCCCACATATGAGCTTCCCCGTAGCTTGGAAATTATCTTTCAACACTTTTACTGCAACATCATTGCTTGAAGCATTATCCACTGATATCGTGTGGACCTTAGCTTCAATTCCCCAGTCCATCAAAAACTTGAAAATTACATCAGCAATGGCAACACCAGAACGGTGAGGAGGGAAATGAATAAAGTTTAATACCCGTCTATTAAACTTCCAATTAATTATCATTAATCCAATGCCCAGTCAAAACCATGTATTCCATCCTCTGGTTGCCTAAATGCCATAGATTTGTGGTCAGACTTATCTTCCTAACACCCTTCAATAGGGTCAGCAACTTCTGCCTCTCACTTTCAAACACTCTCATACAATCATTCTTACAAGTATTACGGGATATCGGAGTCCATTTAGGAATCCCGTACTTCATCATATTGTTCAACCCCTCTTCCTCCACAATAGAAAATGGATGCTCATGCATCAGCACCCAATGTGCAATAAACTCCCTCATCTTCAGCATACTGAATTGACCCCGTAGAGTAGGCAGGACATTAGAACCACCCTGAGAATTGGAAGGGGGGAAATTTATTTGTTGTTGCCTCAAGTGAGTTGTTCTCTTCGCAAACCTTTTCAAATGTCTGTTGAATTGTGTTGTGCTTCCACTAGCAGTCATTTTCAACTTTGTTTTACAATGAATGCACTCTCCCTTCCTTATACCACCAGGGAGAACCACCTCCGTAAATTCTGACCACACAACTGATGTCTTCGCTCTCTTCTTCCTATCTAGTGGACTGTCATTCTCAACATTTTCGGGGCTACTCACACTTTGCTTGGTACCACCTATGCTTCCATAAATGTTACATCGACGACTGCTCTTACCGTAACACAATTGTCGATGTCATCCAATGTAGGGGTGCTTGAGGAACTGTCTCTCGATGCCACACCTACAATTGAAAAATGAATTAACCACTATCGTTAGACAATATCATAAAGTTAAAATAATATATAATTGACATAATATATATTCATTTTACAAAAAAAAAAAAAATCTGTTATATTTTTAATGGGTTAGAATTATACTTTGGAGTCCAAACACTTGTTCATACCTAATTCTCCTTTTCCATGTTGAAATAGGAGTAAGGTAAATTACCTAGTTGACCCTAATTGAATTAAAAACAACTCAAGTAAAACTGGAAAAATAACCTGGACAAGAAATCTTTATTCCTAATGGCAACATCCAACAAAAAATCCTAGTACTTAGAGTCCTAACACATGCTCTATTCTTGTAGTAAAAAGACAGCTTAAAAAGGGTTGTCATTTGATTCAAAAATGCAAACCCCAACCTTCCTTCTAAACCTACAGATTTTGTTTCAAAATTTTATCCAATCTCTATTATTAGAACCAGGCAAATAACTTTTGAAAAGCATTAAACTAATTTCATATGCTTAAGAAATCATTTTGTTACAAAGTCTAATCAATAACACCACAACCATTCACAAATTATTCAACCTTCTTAAGTTCTTGGAGAAGAAGGAAACATAATACATGCGCCTTTAGAGGCATAAAATGGATGCTGATGATTTTGAGTTATTAACAATGATTGGGAAGGGGGCATTTGGGGAGGTATTTTCTTATGAAATGTAACATTTTATGATCTCTTTTTTTAGTCCTTTATTAAGAAAAAAAAAAAAAAAAAAATTGTAACTGTATGTTAGCTTCTTGTCCTTCAAATTGAGGTCCTTCTCTGCAGTTGTTGGTATTTTTCACAGAGCTCTCACCTTAATCAATACTTGTATTGTTGTAATTCTCCGTTCTATAGTTCTTGGTTATTATATTTATCTTGTTGAATTATGACAGCCTTTATGTAGTTGTTGGTTCATTCTTTTCACATCTGATCTTCAAAGAATCTTGTTTGATGTTTGTAGTCTTAGCAATTTTCTAATTGTCTCTGACATTAGAATATTGAGAATGTGAGGCTTGTCTATGAGTTTCCACTTATGATTCCACATTTTACACAAACTGGGCATACGACCACATAGAATCACTATCAAGGGGGAAAAAAACTTCAAACACAATCCAACAAAAATTATTGATATATCAAAATATCGTTATGTTGTTTCCTAATGCTGTATCCTTTCCTAAAGAATTCTAAAACAAAATTTCATGTTGTTCTGGCTTCCGTAAAACTAGAAACTGATCCAACTAGGCTAATAAACAAAAACCTAAAGCTTTACCAAGGGGTGCATTTGCATCAAAAATAAATATAAATGAGTAAATAAATTCTCCCACAATTTTTTATCCTTAGCAACAGAGACAACACATCGTCATCTTCTCCAAACACACGACAAAGCCAATACAAATACTTAACCAACACAGAATATCACCACTCCAAATTACCTAAACTTTCATTTAATGAGGCTTTCATGTCTCCAAATAACCTCAAAATACAAATATCAAAACAATAAATCATTCCCATTTTGCACATTTTCTCCCCATAACAAAAAACCCTAGAAACAAAAACTCCTCAAAGCCCCACAAATCAAATCCCCTCGATGCAAATAACTTGGACAAGAAATCTTTATTCCTAATGGCAACAATTTTAACGGCACAGAGTAAAGACAATTAGGGATGGCAACGGGGCACAGCAAACAAACCTGGAAGTTTCAGAGTGTCGGGCCTCCTTTTCCGGTCACTAAGATTGGAGATGGCGACGAAGATTACCGATTTCAGAGTGTCTGGTTCGCGATTTGGGATTTGGGGGTCTTTGTTTGCGATTTGGGATTTAGGGCAACTAGGATTGGGAATTGAAATTGACGCTCTATTTTGGTGTATCGTGTTATTTCAAATTTGCACTTTTGGGGGAAAACTGTCATTTTTTAAAACTTTTTTCACTGGAAAATATTAGTTTAATACCTAATAGTTTAAAAAATCACTAAAGCACCCTGCGAAGTGTACAGTGCTTACTCGAGCCGGACCAGGCTCGCGAGCCCATGAGCCGAGCTTCACTTTGTTCGAACTCGACTCGGTTAATAAACCGAGTTCAAGTCGAGTCGAGTCGAACCAAGCCTTATCGAGCCGAGCTCTAAACGAGCTTTTACCAAGCTGAGCCGAGCCGGCTTGGCTCGTTTACAGTCCTACCCACACCAGCCCACTCAACCAAATCCACATCAGCCCACACAAACAAGCCCACAAACCGAAATGGGTCAAACTTTTCAGTTTCCATTCCAACTCATACCCACCCCTCAACAGTGGCTAGAACCTAGCAACGTTTTGTATACACCGCCATCAGATGGACCAGATTTGGTTCTGGTCAAACAACCTTTCACTGGATAAAAAAACTACATGATTTGGTCACGATATTTCCGAAGAGCATTGATAATAAAGGATAAGGATGAATTTCTTGACAGAATGGTGCCACCGCTAGAAGAACCACAACTCAAAAGCAGTGGATCAAGTGTAATACACTTGTTCGATCCTGGCTAAGCAACTCTCTAACCTAGGATGTTGTCGTCGGACTCCCACCGACAGAAATCATCGAACAGATGTGGGCCAACATCAAAGAGATGTATGGCCAACTGGATCTCACAAAACGCTTCACACTTTGGCAAAATCTTGCCAAAGTAAAGCAACATAACACCTTTGTCACACAATATTTCAACAAGCTATTGGCTCTATGGAACGAGCTCGATGCCGTTGAAGACCCCTTACATGGGCCACCAGAAACAATCATACAATTTTAGAAGATCAAAGAAAGGGATTGAGTGATCCACTTTCTAATGGGGCTAAATGAGAGTTTTCTCTCTTTTTGAATACAGATGCTCAAAAAATCATCGCCGCCAACACTACGACGTCTCTTCCAACTCGTCATTTAGGACGGGCATCAACTGTTGCCCACGATGGAATCACCACGCCTTGATAATTCCACTGCCTTTGCAGCCAACAGATCCTGCCAAGAGGTTCAATCGGAGCCTATGAAGTTTAAGAGAAATGAAAGAGACTCTAAGCGACTAGGGTTTCATTTGAAGGGAAATGAAAAAAATGACAATTTATGTAATGTCATCAATGGTCTAGATCAAGTCAGCTCAGCCAACGGTCCATAGCAAGTCAACCATTTATTCTCATCCAATGGTCCACATTTTAGGTAGTTTCAAACGACATCCAACGGCCATAGATTGACTAGATCAGGTTAAAATAAATTATACTGTGATTATTGTAAATGGCGCAATACAATTGTGAAAATTGTTGGGAGTTACATGGCCGTCCTAAGGACAAATTTGGAATTCAATGGCAAATAATGTGACAACCAATCCGAGGAATGACATGTCACTGCCTATGATCAATTCCGAACAAATGACATAATTACTCCAGTTGTTGAATCACTCCCAAACCAACAATGCTTCCGCCACATACGCAAGTACATCTTTTATCTTTAGTAATTCAGTTTCCAAAGATGTTTGGATAATTGACTCTGGTGCCAGTGATCACATTGTTTGTCACCCTAGGTTCTTCACTACTCACACACAACCAAATTCCCAATTTCTGTTTGTATGCCAATTGGCAATAACACTGCTGCCACACATGTCAGTACTGTCCACATAAATAAAAAATTAATTATGAAAAATGTCCTTTTAGTTCCTACATTCAACTTTAATCTCATTTTAGTGTCCAAACTCTGTCTCAATAATAATTGCACATTGCAATTTCTCCCTAATATGTGCCTCTTTCAAGACCATTTGGCTGGCAGACCGATGGGCTTGGGTAAAGCTCATCACGGCCTATACTACCTGGAGCCCTTTTTTGATTCCCTTGCCCCAAATAAAGAGTTTCTTAATTGTATTACACAAAATAAAAATTACCTTTGTAATACAAATATTAATAAAAACTCATTTATTTTTCATCAATGGTTGGGTCATAGTGTTTCCATACCTGTCCCTAACTGTTTAATATGTCCTATTGCCAAACAAGCCAGTGTAAAATTCCTCACCAACATGTCATCCACAAACACGTCCTTTGCCTCGATTTACATTGATATTTGGGAACCTCATCCCATTCCCAATCATGACGGATTGAGGTATTTCCTAACCATAGTTGATGACTTTTCTCGAGTAATGTGGATATTTCTCATGCACTCA